GGGGGGTTGTTTTCTATTTCTTCACCTTGTTCACTACTCTTGCTCCTCTCTGTATCCTGTATCTGGGCACCCCAGAGTCAGAATGGAAAGGAGGAATGGGAGGGAAAAAGCAAGGTGTAACTGGATGGTAGTGGTTTAATCTGGCATCATTGCCCCCCTGTAGCAGATACCCAAATGCCAGCTTTGGGTCACAAGGGATGACTTCATGACTTCTTTGCAAAAGTTTGTACACTTTTATCACGTGTAAGTTTATTGATATCAGTTATGCCTCAATAAAGCAATAATAAAGTAAGAACTGATGGTAGCAACTGCTGGTGAGGATGAGGAGTATGTGGTATTTGCCAAACATTGACTGTGAAAATGTAAATTGCTACAGCTACTTAGAAAAGTGGTTTGGCAGGTTTTTATAAAGTTAAACATGTGATTACATTATCCAGCAATCTGACTCCTAAATAGCTACCCAAGTTTTAATTAACATTTATATTTAATAGACATCAGTACTAGAATGTGTATAGTGGCTTTATTTACAAATGCTAAGAACTGGAAACAACTCATAATCATAAATCCTTCATCTGGTGAATAAAAAAACTGTGGGATATTTAAAGAATAGATTACTGATTAACAATTAAAGTATTAAACTACTGATATGTGGATTAATCTTAAAATCTTTATGCTGAGTGAAAGAAGCCAGACTCAAAAGACAATGTACTATATGATTTCACTTGTATGACAATTTAAAAAAGACAAAACTATAGGGAGAGAAAACAGATTAGTGTTTGCGAGGTTCTGAAGTTGGGGTGAGGGATTTTTTGGGGTGATGGAACTATTCTCTATCTTGGAGTACTAGTCATACAACTGTATCCATTTGTCAAAACTTGCAGAACTGTACTCAAAAAGAGGTGAATTTTATCGTCTATCATTTATCCTCTACAAAAAAACAGAACAATGATAAAAGCAATGGTATTGACCTGGAGATTTAACTTCAAGGATGCATGTATGTTATGATTTCATTGTTCACAGCACTGAAAAAGTAAAAACAACCCAAATGTCCAACAACGGAGAAGTGGTTAAATAAAACAGGGTATAAGGAAAAGGCAAATTAAATCTACAACAAGATAATATTACTTATTTTTAAGATTGGATAAATTGAAATGTTTGACAACACACTCTACAGACAATACTGTGAGAAAACAGGCTGGTGGGAATGCAAAATTTAGCATTGCATGTGAAAGGAAATGGGCAACATCCACAAAACTCATATGCATTATGTTTGCTGGTTAAATAGTCTCTGTAAGGCTTCATGTAAGATTCATGTCTGATCTTGCAGCTTGAAGTCTGCAAGGCAAGCAGTCAAGAAGCACAGGTGGATATAAAGTGGGAGAGCACAAGGACAAACCAACATGAGCTGAAACACATGAGGACAGACCAAAATTCAGGCCAGTTCCTCTAATCTTGAGGAACTGGGTATCTTGTAGAAGGTGTCCTTGTCATTCAGCTAGACACCCACAAGGCCTAGAAGTTGTGGAATCTGAGTGAGGATGCAAGGGAAGGTGGTGCAGTTGCAGACCTGGATTTTGCCTCATGCCAAATTGGTGAGCCCAAATAAGCCACCATGTGTGTGAGCCACAAAATACCTGCCCCAACCTTCTGGGCACAAAAAACAAAATGGCTACTGCTTCTCCTCTGCCCACCAAATTTCATGTGAAAATATCTCTAGTCAACCATCCTGACTGGTAGGGTGGGATATATTCCCTCTATATAAACACAGAGGGAAGTTCAGCTTAGCCACATTGACCCACTATAATGCCACCAAAACCCAGTAAAAACACAAAGCGATTCATGTCAAGGTAGTCATTTTGTACTGAACACAATACCGTGAGACTGGAAACAACCCAAATGTCCACTAACTGGGTAGTGGTTAAATAAACTAGGGTATATCCACACTGGGCAGTTGTGAAAAAGTCTGTATGTGCTGCCATGGAGTGATGTCCAGGTTATATCGCTAAGTGAGGGAAAAAGAAAAAGCAAAACAATGAGCATGGTGTGTTACTTTATTTCTAAGAAAATATTTCCTAGCTCTGTCCCTTGGAACGTCCTAGAAAAACAACCAACTCAACAGCAACGAGCACCTTTCACCACCAGAACGTGATCTCTAATACCACCTGCCACGAAAGGAGTCAGGATCCTCAAAGAAATGGCTGAATCTAGGTCAGAGGGAGGAAATGTATAAGGTGAGCCTGGAATATACTATCACACCAGAAAGCAGGAAAGTTATCAAAGATGTTTTCACAAAGGAATCATTTCACAAAGACATCAAAGCCAACCTGAAGGGATTCTCACTGCTAAAATGTATCATTTTGAGAAAGAGAAAAAGAAAAGAAAGAAATTTAAACACTAGCTGTGTTAAAATTCATGTACACATGAAGATACTAAAATAACTTAGTCACCTTTGGAGACAGCTAGGGTTCCACCTATTATTTTGAAACAAGTAAATAAAAAGAAAGATGCTATCATTTAGGAAGAATTTTTCAGGATAACCAAATAGTTGATAAGGGAAAGTTCTCCGTTATAGAAGATTCCAGTTAATAAATGCAGAGTTATTATCCAGTTAATAAATAAATAATTTCTAGAAATAATGGACAGAGGCAGTGAGCAGTTAAAACTCTTAGGTGAATGGAGAACGTTATAAAGGAAGAAATCAGGCTGACAATAGCTGAACTTAACATCATAAAATGAGAGATTACCAGACATTATTTGTCTCCTAACACACAGGAAGTATTCTAGCCACCTATGAAGTACTCTTGCCAAGAAAATGAACACAAGTCTGGTCAAGACTCTACTTCAGAGCTGTCCAACACAACTTTCTGCAATGATGGGAATATCTGTGGGCTGTCCAACACTGTAGCTATTAGACAATAGTCACATGGCTATTGAGCACTTGGCTAGTGAGATCGAGGGAGTGACTTTTACATTTTAGTTCATTTTAATTAATTTCAATTTAATTTTAATTAATCTCAATTTAAGTAGCCACATGTAGTTAATGGAACCACACTTAAAAGAGCAGCTATAGATCTAACTGCTAACTTAGAGAAAGTACAGGGGATAAATGAACATGTTAAATGACAAAATGCCTCAGTGCATAATGTGTAGACCTTGTTTTGATCCTTATTAAAACAAACCAACTTAGAGACAATTGGGGAAATCTGAACTAGATAATTTATAATATTAGGAATTATTGAAAATTTTATTTTGTATGATAATGGTTTATGTTTAGGCTTTAAAAAAAATCATTCTTGTTTCTTAGAGATACATACTGAAGTATTTATAGATAAAAATATATACGTCTGGAATTTTCTTTAAATTATCCAGCACAGGGGAAGGAGGATAGTGGAAGTATATATATGAAACAAGATTAGCTCAATGTTGAAAATTGTTGAAGCTGAGTGATGGGTATATGTGTGTTCATCATAGTATTTTTTCTATTTTTGTGATGTTTAAAAATTTCCATCACAAAAAATGTTAACAAGTGAAGGAATAAATAAAACCTAGAATTAAAACAATGGTATTTTATACAGCCTACAGAATATTATAAATACTAAAAAAAAATGTAGTGGGTCTCTACATATTATATCATGGAAAGACAGCTAGTTATATATAACTAAGTTATATGAAATAAGAAAGGGAAGTTGTAGAACAATTACTACAGTCTGAATATTTGTGTCTCCCCCCAATCATTCACCTGTTGAAAGCCCAATCCTCAATGTGATAGTATTCAGAGGTGCAGTCTTTCTGAGATGATTAAATCAGGAAGGTAGAGTACATATGAATGCGATTAGTGCTGTTAGAAAAAAGATCCCACAGAGTTCTCTCACCCTTTCCACTCTGCTAGGATGTAAGTCTGCCACCCAAAGAGGGCCCTCACCCAACCACGCTGATCTTGGACTTCCAGCTTCCAGAACTGTGAGAAATAAATATTTGTTTAGCTACACAGTCTGTAGTATTTTGTTGCAGCAGCCTGAATGGATTAAGACAACAATATATTAAGAATGAACCTATTTATGTCAACAATAAAAAGGCATATTTATATGTACATGTATTTATAAGCAAACATCCTGTGCAAATCTGTTTCTTAGAATATATTTACAAAACTACTTTTAGTCATCCATAAGGCTATATGTACAAAGATACTGTATCAGTCTGATTGAGCATCTGTAACAAAATACCAATAACTGGGTGACTTAAACAATAGCATTATTTCTCACAGTGTTGGAAGCTGATTTAAGGTGCCTGCTGATTCGGCTCTCTTCTGGCTTGCAGTTGACTGCCTTCTTGCTATGTCCTCACAGAGCTGAGAGCAAGCTCTGGTGTCTCTCTTTTTATAAGGACAGCCTTATTGGAAGAGCCCATTTTTATGACCTCATTTAACCTTTATAATTTCCTCACAGGCCCAATCTCCATATATAGTCACACCGAGGGTTAGGGCTTCAAGATATGAATTTGGGGGGACACAAACATTCGGCCCATAACATATGAAAGCATTATTCCTTATAGAAAAATTATGGCGACAATTTCAGTGTCTACCAATGGAGGAATGGACAGGTAAATTATAGCAATATTATGAACTAGTGTGGATAAACATCCAAAATATATTTTTGAATATAAAAACCAAGTTAACAATATATGAATGGTCACATAAAAAAATACGAAAGGAACCCCAAGTGTATAGTCCCTTCTTTCTTTCTCTATAGATATAAATAGATAGATAATAGATGTTGATGCAGATATAATCACACACAACTATTAACAGTTGTTAACCCTAGGGAACAGGAAAAGGGATATGGGAAAGAGGGACACTTTTGCTTTTCCGCTGTGTATAGGCTGAATAATTGTAATTTATTAAAAAAATAATGAGCATTCATTACATTTATAGATCTGAAAAAATGCCGTAAGTACTTTAACTGCTTGATTCTATAAGACAGTATCTAGACGAGGTGCTTAAATATTAAAACAACAAGTGTATTTATTTATATAACATGACATAAGGATATCCATCCGGTTCAGGCTCTGTACTTGAATTCAATTATGTTGCAGAATCACCTTGTAACTGAAAAGAAGTTAGAGTAGTTTCAACTTTTACTCCATGGACTCAAAGAATATTAACTTCCCCTCCTCCATTCTCCTGTAGCTCTATGGAGATTTTCTCATTCTAAATGCTTAACTCCTCCTCAACCACAGTCTTCCCCTCCCTTAGCCTTTCTCAATTCCTTTACATAGAAACCGTTCCAAATCTCAGGATTTTCTCTAGCAACTGGTCATACTTGAAATCCCAAAAGATCCAAGAACCAGGCAAGAACCAGGCTGGTGGAGACTCTTCTTCAGTTAGGGGTGGGGAGCAGCTTGGCCCCATTGGCATATTGGTCTCATTGATTTCTCCAAGTTCAGAATGTTGATTCTGTAATTAATAACTGGTTCATGTATATTGTAGTTTTTCTTCCCAACTGGACTGTATTTGGAGAAAAGGGGGTAGGGTCATTGCTGTCATTATTTTTATTCCTTACCTATTTCGCTTGATCTGTTCATGCAAAAAAGGTTCATGCAAAAAAAGCTGCAGGAGAGAGAAGTCCTGAGATGGTCAAGGTGTAGTTTGTTTATTTAGAATGCTAATTTCCAGGCTTTTTCCCAGAGTCCAATTAAGGTTTGTGCACCTCTTACAAGTTCTATGCTTTATTTACAGGTCAAAATTTTCTTAGGAATGTTAAGAACTGCCCTGCCTCAGAGACTGGACCCACACATAGCCCTGAGCGCTATTTTAGAGTGACGTTAGTATTAGACTTGGAGCTGAAGAACCCAGTCTCAACCACTTCACCTCACCATATTTCCTCTCTCTCTCTAGATCTGTTTCCTTGTCTCCAAAGTGGGGATAGTCACATCTGCCTCACAGGACCTTATGTGGGGACATATTGTAGCTGTAAAGCCCTTTTAAAACCCTGTGTGTCTGGAGAAATCAACCAGGCTTGGTTCCTGCCCTGCTCATAAAGAGGCTGTCTCAGTCCCCTTTTGTACCCAAATGACATTAAATTGAGAAATTTCAACTTGGGAGATGTTTCTTCAGAAAAGGCAGAGCTATAAAAACAGTTGATTTGAGTAAGTCTAGCTTGTAACTACAGTTTTTCTCCCCAATGAAGAATAATCAGTAATCTACTCTGTCTCTGGCACCTGAAGCTTTAATTTTGGGGTAACAATGAACTCTGAGCGATGGCCTTCAAGCAAGTCAAAAATCCCAAAGTGGTTATTATGACTGTTTGGAGGCCCGCGAGGCACCAGGGGTTGTAAAAAGAGGAATCGAGCTTCAAGCTGGCTCACTTAGAACAGGATCGCCTCCATACCTAACAAGAGTACGACCTACCGCCGCCATTTTGCAGGGTGGGCTGCGGCGGCTCTAGGAAGCTGCCCTGCGCGCCAGAGCTGGCGAGGACGTGGAAGGACTGGAGGCGGGCGGCCGGCGCCACCAGGGGAAAGGACGCGTGCGCACAGGCGGTAGCGGTGGAGGGGGTGGGGCCAGGGTGAGAGTGCGCCTGCTCGATGGGAGCCCGCGAAGTACCTGGAGGAGGTGGGGGGCGAGGTAGAAGGAAGTGGTGTTGAAGAGCGCTTGCGCAGGAGGGCGCCTGTCCGAGGAGGGGGCTCCTGAGCACGCGCGCTGAGACGGGACTTGGGGTGGTCTCGCGAGATCTTCAGGGTGCTATATATATGCGTAGGGAGCCCGCGTCCTTTCCCTGGCGTGATTCCGTCCTGTGTGTTTGTTCGTTGCAGTTGATATCTCCGTCCGCTTTCTCTCCCATCTAAGTGCGTGCCATCACTCCATGGAAGATTCGATGGACATGGACATGAGCCCCCTGAGGCCCCAGAACTATCTTTTCGGTAATTGCTGGGGTGGGGGGGATTGGAGCGAGGCGGTGTAGGGCCTGGCGGCTTTGAGGTTGTGGTGGGGGTGGGTGAGAGGGTGGGAATCCTGCTGAGGCCTGTGCTGGCGCAGAGAAGGCTAAGCAGGCTAGAAGCCTGAGGGAGTGAAAAGCGAGCTGCCGCGCCCTGCAGTCTAAAGGATGGGGAGTCCGGAGGGGAGAACCGGAGCACGGAGGAATGGATAGAGGGGCAGCCCGAAGCCTGGGGCTTCCGAGGCCCGAGGCCGGAGGTACCGTGGAACCGACCAGCTAAGGGTTCGTCGTTGCTTGGGGCACATGGTAGAGCCCTAGGCATTATTTTTTTCTAGGGGTGTATGAGATAGTCTTTGCTTCCTCGCCGGTGCGGTGTCTGTCGCTGTGTCCCCGGCTGGTGGTGAAGGAGGTTATGTGGGTCCGTGGTGTGAGGCATGGGCCTCCTTTCTTGGGGAGGGGCTAGATAGAGCCCGGCGTTGTCCTCCAGCCTTTAGGTCTCCGAATTTAAGGGTTAAGTCTGCCCCTATCCCTCGGCCGATTACGGGGGGAGGGGAGGCGCGGCCCGGCGTGAGGCGCCGCAATCGTTGGAAGCACGTGGTTGCCACGTGGTTAGGGGAAGGAGGGGGTGGTGTGGGCTCTACATCCGGGGCTCTCCGATGTCTTGTCAACTCCGAACCTGGGATCTTGGTGCGTAATTGAGGCTGTTGGGCGGGAAATGTGGGGCGAAGTAGTTGGTAGCGCCAGGATTCTGGAGATTTTTGTTAAGCACTTAACATTTACCAGGATGGTAGTTTTCACTTACATAGCCTTTTTTTCTAACAACAGTAGGTGGAATTAGCCCACTTTATAGACGCCGGTACTGATGCTTAGACCTAGACAGACTTTTAAGGAAGGTTGCACTCGTAGGTAAACAGACTAGATCTAAACCAGGACAGTTGTCTCCAGAGCTGGTGCATTATAAGTAAATGATTTCTTTTTTTTTTTTTTTTGAAGAGAGGCTGGCCGAGGTAAGGTAGAGCCTTTTGTGCAGCATTCGAGCAAACAGCTTTTTTTTGTAGTGGGACATGTACTGAGGGTTCAGTCTGGGTCACTAAAACCTATACTATTAGATTGTAATTTTATGCGAAGGTTTTGGAATTCCTCCATCCCCGACCCCAGTACATACTATCCCGCTAAGGAGAAGCCTGCCTTGGTTTTCATTCTTAATAAACTTGATGATGGAAGCCATTTATTTCTTTTTATCAGGCTTTGAAGTAAGTGCATATCCTGACCCAAATTTATTTTGTTACTGTGTATACCATGCTGAGATATGCTAATTGAGCAGTAACAGTTAGGCGTCTTTATTGCTTTTACTTTGGAGATGGATGTTGACCCCTATAGAAAGAGAGTGTTAGTTCTAATGGGATTTCATCAACATTGTCCATCAGGATTGGTTTCAGATATGTGCTTTTCAGATTTACTAAATTTTTTAGCTCGTTTTTTCTAAGGGTAATATTTGAGAATGAATGGTATAATGGAAAAGTGGATTTTATGAAGCCCTGTATAGATGATAATCGATGTCATTTATAGATGTGTTAAAGAAATCCAAGAAGAGATATTTATGCCCTGCCGTTCTGGTAGCTACAATAGTGAAAAACCAGTCCGGAGGTTAACCATTATCTTTTTCGTTACCCACACTAAATTTTTTGTTATTTTTCTCCTTGTTATAGTGCTTTATTCTTCATTTACAGGTTGTGAACTAAAGGCTGACAAAGACTATCATTTTAAGGTGGATAATGATGAAAATGAGCACCAGTTATCGCTAAGAACGGTACTTAAACTTTGCAAAAAACCATTCTTGATTTCAGTTCCTTAGTTTCTTTTCATGTGGCTTAAAATTAATTGATTGTTGTGTATACCTGATACAAAACTTGGCATCTTTGCCACTCATTTGAAGTCATGTAAAGTCCAGTCACACTGTTCATCTTTCCATGTTTATAAACTTGGCTTCAGTTGCTTTATAAAGCCCTTTAGGGCAGTGATAAATCTTTTTTGTCTCCCCACAGACTAGCCTATAGTGCAGGGTTCTATTTGGAGTAGGTAGTTGATAAATGTTAGGTTATCCGTACTGTGGATAGGTGATGGCATATATAACTATGTCATCAAACGCATTTCTGTGTGTTTTCCTGAATATGAGAAAATGATTGGCTGGATCATATAAAACCAGAAGACAACATCGTGCACACATTAGTTTTTCTTCAGTGGTAATAATGAAAGGTTTATAATTATGTTATTTGAAAAACAGATTTTGGGGGGATGGTAAAATAGTGGGAACTTAAGTTGAAGTACTGTTTTTGTTCACAGGTCAGTTTAGGGGCTGGTGCAAAGGATGAATTGCACATTGTTGAAGCAGAGGCAATGAATTATGAAGGCAGTCCAATTAAAGTAACACTGGCAACTTTGAAAATGTCTGTACAGCCAACGGTAAGGGTGCTTACAGTTTGGATTTTATATCAAGGTCTAGTTCTGTTGCATTAAGGTAGGTGTCATTTGTGTTACGCCAAGGAGATGAGGGAATTTAGTCTTTCCAGGAGTCACACCTGCATTTTCGTGGGATTGAATGATCAACTCTTGAATTTTGGGTTTGCTGCTTGTTTGTCAGGTGGACAACTGGTTCACAGGTTTATTCATTTGGCTGATGGTCTGCCTAGGACACTAATTACAGAAACTTTTGTAAGTCAGTTATGAACAGGTTTGTACCAAACATTTAACCTTTTATTTCTCAGTATTAAGTGATTTAAAAGTTTCTCCTTTTTAGGTTTCTCTTGGGGGCTTTGAAATAACACCACCTGTGGTCTTACGGTTGAAGTGTGGTTCAGGGCCTGTGCATATTAGTGGACAGCATTTAGTAGGTATGTCATTTTTATGTATTTTGCTGTTTAATCTCCTTAATGCAATTTGGACTTCACAAAGAATGCTTAGTTCTAGAATTCTAGTACTAATGTCTTTATAACAGGTTCAAGTAGGAGTCTGGTAGTTTGTAACTAGAAAAGCCTGTGTGGTTTTTTCGTTTACATTTAAGACCTAGTAACGAGTATTGCTCCCCTTTTAGAAAAATGTTCCGTTTGCTGTTTTTCTAGTAGAATCTCAGTTTTTAGTAATAACTATTACCAATGCCCTTTTTTCCTGAGTTTTTGCTTTCTTGAGTTTTAGTAGTGGTTAATAATGAATTTTATTTTAGCTGTGGAGGAAGATGGAGAGTCTGAAGAAGAGGAGGAGGAGGATGTGAAGCTCCTAAGTATATCTGGAAAGCGTTCCGCCCCTGGAAGTGGTAGCAAGGTTCCACAGGTAGTTATCGATGACATTAGAGTTATCTTATTCTGGCCTTTAGTTTGGTTATTAGGATCAGCACTTGCTCATGAGTATGTATGTGTATGTGTGTGTTTATTTTTATTTTTATTTTTTAAAGAAAAAAGTAAAAATTGCTGCTGATGAAGATGACGACGATGACGATGATGATGACGATGATGATGAAGAGTAAGTACGTCTTGGAAGCCTGACATTGTTCTGTGCCGTGCGGCTTTGTAAAAATTATTTACCAAAGTCATCCCATGGAATTAAGTACAAGTTTTAATTAAAGGTTTAAATGGTAGTGGCTGTCCTCTTGGATTAAATGAGCTGAGTTAAAAGGATATTATCAGGACATGTACTTTAAAATGAGGCAGTGCATTGCAGATTTCAGTGCAGAAAAAAGGTGGATGCAGTATTTCTCAAATGTATTTGACCTAAGTACTTTTCCTGAGGAAGATTTAGTGGATACATTACACTAACAAATTCCAGTGTATTTTACACTGAACAGATTGTAATAAATGGATTGGGGGAAAAAATCTGAAGAGCTACAGCTGTATCATCTTTTAAGTGGTCACCTAGAATTTTTTTTTTCTTCCCACAAAGTTTTGTTTGGCCTATGGTTCTCTTGTCCTTAATGATGAAGTAAGATTGTAGAAGAGGTGATTTTTGTGAAGAATTTACAATTTGGTTGAAAACAGGATTTGATGTGTTTATTAAAATTAGATCAGGCTAAAGTAAATAGTTACATGCACACTATGGAATAAAATTCTGTTTAATTGGTCTTATCTGTATACAGTAACATCAGTAATTCAAATGCATTGAGTTTTTTAGTTGCCTGTCAACTTTGTCCCTGAGTTCCCAGATTAATCCGTGTATATTTATTGAAAACATAGTTCAAATAGAATCTAAAACAATATGTACTAATTAATGATCAACTCTTGAAGTTAGGTTTTCAGTAACCTCAACTAGCCAAGAAATTCGTTCTTTAAAAAGCCTTTTGAGCATCACATTAAAGGCAGGAAGTAGGAAAAGACTGAAATACTTGAGTGCTTAAATTCATAATTACTGGCATGTCCAACTTAAACTGAATAAACTGCTACTACTCTACCATTAGTAAGAAAATACACTGCAAAAGAATGGGAAATGGGCTTAGAACAAATGAGAAATACGTAGTGTACGGTGCTTAGTTAAGTGGGCTTTGAGTTTACCTAGTCTTCAGTGTTTTTTTACATGTCTGTATCCAATAATATATTCACTGATAACTTTGGTGACAAACCTGTCCTGTAAGGCTTTGGGGTAGGACCTGTTTTGGTATCTTGATTATGCTTGGCTTTGAAAGATTTCATGT